AAACTACAGTGGAACAAATTATAGTTACAAAATTGATTCTCAAATTGCATCCGAGTTCACAAGAAGGTGTGTGTTCACGAAATGTAGAACAAAAACCAAAAAACAGGGAAGAAAATTGGAATTCCGTTTACTTCGGAATCCCAAAAACAACTGATAACAAACATGATAAAAAAAAAATGCAAAACCAGAATTTCGTGTATATACACTTTTGAATTCAGAGAAGAAGGGTAGGCGTTAAATTAACATCAAACATATATATCCAAACCTAAAGTGAAGTAAAGTATATATGTTGAAGAAGACGATTAGCATTAAGTGTTTTTCAACGAGAAAAAAAACCAAATGCTGAAATTTAAGTTGTTGACGAAGAGAAGACACGTTGATAGGGAAGAAGAAGATCAAAAGTCCAAAATTATCCACAAGCCGTTACAAAATATTACATATGATATAATTTTGAATCTTTTAAAATAGGAAACCCTTATTATAATACATCAAATCCCATAAAAAAAAAAAAGGGTCTGTTAAACCAAAGTAGCAAATTTTTTGAAAAAGGGTAGTTTAATACATGTAAAATTTAAAAATCAGTCAATGCATACCTACATACAATACATTTAAAGTCAAAAGTATTTATTTACAAAAGATTTTAGTCAATGTATTTTTCCACAATTAAATAGTTTGAAAGGTATCTCCTCACAATTTTCTGTAGTTTTATATTTGAGATCATGACAGCTCATATTTTTCTACCCCAAAAAAACCTAACCTCCTGGGTGTCTTTCTCCCATACCTTTCTCTCGAATCTATTATCAAAATACCGGAGTTTTAAAACTTAAATATTAATCTATAGCCGTTTTGAACTTATTTATCAAACTACAGCTGTTTTAAAAGTGGAAGTACGAAATTCGATTTTATTTAAAAACGAATTTAGTAAGTACGATTTTATCTGAAAAAACGAATGTAACAATTCTGACTTTAACACTAAAAGCGTATTGACAATTACGCTTTTAAGTGATCAATTGCTTTGCTCTCGAGGTTGCCAGCAGCTCAGTATACTGACCTTATAAAAAAGTGATAAATTACACTCATTTCGTTTATAGTTCTTGTTTATTACAATAATAGACTTATATTATATGATATTATATTGACCCTTTTATTTGTTTCATTTTGATATTAGATATTTTTTTCAATTTTTAACTCAAACTTTGTTCCAGCATTCTTTTTAACACCGTTATTCTTTATTTGAACAACAGTATCCTTAAATCTAAGTTTATTTTTAATTTTTAATTTTATTTGAGCTAATTAAAAATTATTTTTAATCGACTTAAATCAAATTTTAATAGTATTCTTTACATTGTAAAAGTTTTGTCTTCTTAAGGTCAAGGGTTCAAACCATTTTCCCCCTCCCCCCAAAAAAAAAAATCAACTAGTATTAAATTTTAATAAGTCCAAACTTTAATACATAAAAAAATATAAATTTTAATTGATTCAAATTTTAATAAATCAAATTTTAATTAACATGGATTTGAATAAGTAAAAAAATATAAATTTTAATTGACTCGAAAGCGAATTTTAATCTGTTCTAACAACTCAGATAAAGTTTAAATCAGCTCAAATTTTAATATGTTCAAAAAATAAAATTTAAGGATACTGTTGTTCAAATAAAGAATAACAGTGTTAAAAAGAATGCTGGAACAAAGTTTGTGTGAAAAATTGAAAAAAAATATCTAATATCAAAATGAAACAAATAAAATGGTCAATATAATATCATAAAATATAAGTCTATTATTGTAATAAACAAGAACTATAAACTACATGAGTATAATTTATTACTTTTTTTATAAGGTCAGTACACTGAGCCGCTGACAGCCTGAGGAGCAAAGCAATTTTTCACTTAAAAGCGTAATTGTAAAATACGCTTTTGGTGTTAAAGTTGGAATTGTTACATCCGTCATTACTAAATCCGCTTTTAAACGAAATCAAATCTTGCATTTCCGCTTTAAAAACAACAATAGTTTGGTAAATAAGTTTAAAATGGCTGTAGATTGATATTTAAATTTTAAAACTCCAATATTTTGGTAATAAATTCTCTCTCTCTCTCTCTGTGAATGCATTTTTGTGCTACCAACTCACTCCTAAAATTTTATACAAATAATCTTTAGCATATGCAAAGAAAAATAGATATTTTTTCCTTATCCTTTTTTATATAATTTTTATATATATTTTTTTATCTTGGTGAGCATATAATTTTTAAATACATATATTTTTGGTCCATTGTATAGAATAAAATTTTATTATTAAAGACTTCATTCATGATGTATATACTGATATTGATTGCTTAATTTTATTTTCAAAATTGAAAATTCTAAAAATTGAAACTAACATTCCAATTGAAATACTAAACTAAATAAAAAGAATAATTTTTTTTCTTTGAATACATGCATTATTTATAAAATTTTATTAACAACCGCGCGTTGTAGCAACTTTTTATTGAAAGGTAGCTACAACTTCAAAGCCAAAGAGGAAATTTTTTCTGATTCGAAGGTTTCCGCTATAGCAGCCAAAAAGAAGACAATTTCTACAACTAAAATAAGGAGGTTTCATGAATACCAAATAAGTTGACTTCATTAAAAAAGTTAAAGGCTATAGAAGTGCATCCCTAGTTTCAATAAAATGAAAGAAATGGAAAAGTCATAGTATATAGAACTGCCGTTACTCCCATCTCCTTTGACTTACACATTTTCAATTAAATCATGATTCTATCTCGATCAATTTTGCATTGATCAGGGTGGGCGTTTTAGTCCCCAGATGACCTTTTTCAATCGCCCTTATTCCAACAACTAAAGAGAAACAAAGTTCAATTTCTTCTTCTTCCTCAACCAATTCTCGATCGCCTTGACTCTTTAATCTCAAGGAACCCCAACCCCACTATCATGTTACTTCAACAGAAATGGTCTTTTCAAAATTTAAATTAATTAAATCTTATTTACAATCAATTATATCAGAAAAAAAATTGAATGGATTAATTATAATCTAATGAGAAAAATTTATTGACAGAACTTGAATATAAAAACTTGATCAATATTTTTGCATTTTACAAAATAAATTTTTTTTTTAAATCAATAAAATATTAAATTAAGATAATTAGCAAAAATTTAATATATTAATAATAATAGCCCCCCGCTAAAATTTTCGCCCATTTACATTGGGCCGCCCTTGGCGGTGCCATAGATTTTTTTTTCCATTGATCGGAAGACGAAGAGTAACCTCAGAATATCTCCTTCACTTCAACTACGCTTTTGGATTGGGAATATTTCATTAAGATAATTATTTTGACCCCTTTAACTATGATTTAATGCCTCAAATTATCGTGGTTTTTTTTTTNTTTTTTTTCCATTGATCGGAAGACGAAGAGTAACCTCAGAATATCTCCTTCACTTCACCTACGCTGTTGGATTGGGAATATTTCATTAAGATAATTATTTTGACCCCTTTAACTATGATTTAATGCCTCAAATTATCGTGGTTTTTTTTTAAAAAAAATTAGCGTGTTAATTATCATATTTTTCTTGTTATTCTAAAATCAAACACTGTTACGAACTGGAGATATAGTGACACATTTTGTAATCCAAACTATATGTTTTTGTTTCGACTTACTCTAAAATTTAATTACACATGAATATTTTTTGTCAAAAAGAGAGATACTATTTGATTTTTAGACTAGATGAAATCAATTTGAGCAATTAAAGAGATAATATGTGAAAAATGAAAAAGTATAGTTTAGTCTAATTTGTCCCCATAACTCCAAGAGATAATCCATTAGAGACGTGAACAAAATATAAATTCAAACATATTGAGTTTAAAATTTGATAAATTATGAATCATTGAATTCTCTAGTCTTGACATACATTAAGAGTGATAACNCCAAGAGATAATCCATTAGAGACGTGAACAAAATATAAATTCAAACATATTGAGTTTGAAATTTGATAAATTATGAATCATTGAATTCCCTAGTCTTGACATACATTAAGAGTGATAATTTTTGACACAATACAAAAATATGACTCGAAATTGACACGATGGGTTAGGGTTGACTATTTTTTGATACAAACTCATATATGACATGACTCGTTAACACGAATAATAAATAAGTTGAGTTAATTTCAAACACAAACAACACAAAATTGACACGTTTAAGTAATATTATAAGAATAAAATGTCAATNATATATGACATGACTCGTTAACACGAATAATAAATAAGTTGAGTTAATTTCAAACACCAGCAAAACAAAATTGACACGTTTAAGTAATATTATAAGAATAAAATGTCAATTTTTTTATTATATTTTATCTAGTACTGACCTAATTATTGTATAAAAATATATATTTTTACTCATTTTTATTATTATATTTACTAAGTTAATTTTTAATTTATAAAAAAAGTATAAGCATATATTCGATGAAGTGATAATAAAATTTTAAATATAAAATTGAGCATTAAATTTTTTATTTATGAATTATGTGGGTCAACACAAACATAATTCAAAACAATAATAATAATAAAATATTATATAATCCAAATAAAATTCAAAAATTAAAAAAATAAATTCGTCCCCATAAAATGCTACCAGCTAAACACGTGGACTCATTCTTCTAATTCTTTTATTTGGTTTTGTCTGCCCTCCCCAGTGCGTAGTCCTAGTCCCCTCCGTAACGAACCTTCCACGAAACTTTAATACTTTCAATTAATTTTTTATTCATTTTCATTTGTCGAATTGTGCACCTTCGACAACTTCGATCAAACCTCGGACGACTTCCAGACTCGTCTTCTTTCATATCACTCCCCGATCTCTTTTTCTCTCTCTCCTCCACCACCGGCTACGACGGCAATCTCTGGGAGTTTCTCCAGGTAACTTTCTCTCTATTCAAAACACCCTTTTTGGCATTTGCACTCATAGTCGGATCCACCAACAACCCAGATCCGTTTATTCGGATCTCATCGCCATGCCAACTCCCAAACCACCTTCGTTACTCTGGCTAGGGTTTGTCTTGTGCTTGTTGATTAGATGTTGTTATTCGGATCCGGGTTCAAATTGCCCCAAAACGAACACTTCCCTTATCAACTTCATCTCCGAATTCAACATGGTTCAACACCAGCTCAGAGGAGTTCTCACAATCCTCGATGACTGCTCATTTTCAGTCACCCAATTTGATATGCTACAAGGCTCAGATGTGCACTGGTGGGGTGCCCTTGGGCCAGATTTCCAAAACCTAACAGCGGGTTTTATTGTTTCTGATCAAAAACTGAATCAAACCTACAAAAATGCTAGCCTTGTTGTGAATTTAATGAAAAATGTCACTTGGGATATGATCAAAGCCCTTGCCGTGTGGGATATCCCCACGGCCTCGGATTTTGGTGATATTTTGTTGGAAGAATCTCTGAATAGTTCGGAGACTATTGCACCATCGCCAATGCCGGTGAATGGCACTGAAAATTTGAACAATTCGAGTTTTAGGTTGGAGAGGGAGCCTACGATGTTTAAGAATTGTAAAGAGTTGTCCAAGGTTTATAGAATTAGGTGGACTTTGAGGGAGGATGAGGATTTGATTGATGTTGGATTGGAGGGTGCGATTGGGATTCAGAATTATATGGCTTTTGGGTGGGCAGATCCGAATGCATCGGAAAAGTTAATGCTGGGTGGGGATGTGGCGGTGACGGGGTTTACGGAGGAGGGAATACCATTTGCCGACGATTATTTTATAACTAAGTATGCCGACTGTATGATAAATAAGGATGGGATTGTTCAAGGGGTTTGTCCAGACACTATGTATGAAGGGTCAGACCCGGTTGGGTTGGAGAACAATACTAAGATGATTTATGGGCATAGGAAAGATGGGGTGTCATTTATACGGTATCAGAGGCCGTTGAAGTCAGTTGACAAGAAGTATGATAGGAAGATTGATCCTAACGTTAATATGACAGTGATTTGGGCTTTAGGATCAATAAAGCCGCCAGATGCCCTGAGGCCGTATTATCTTCCTCAAAATCATGGTGGGACTTATGGGCATTTGGTGCTTAATGTTTCAGAGCACGTGGATGATTGTTTAGGGCCACTGGATGCTGAGGATAAGGAGGATCAAGAATTGATCATTGCAGATAAGAAGGAACCTCTTGTGGTTACGACAGGTCCAACATTTCATTACCCGAATCCCCCAAATCCTTCAAAAGTTCTTTACATTAACAAGAAAGAGGCTCCTGTATTGAGAGTAGAAAGGGGGGTTACAGTGAAGTTCTCTATACAAGCTGGACATGATGTTGCATTCTACGTAACTTCTGATCCGCTGGGAGGGAACGCAACTTTGAGGAACATGTCTGAGACTATTTATTTTGGGGGACCAAAAGCTGAAGGAGTTCAAGCCAGTCCTACGGAGTTGGATTGGGCGCCTGACCGGAACACCCCAGATCAAGTTTACTATCAGTCTCTCTATACTCAAAAAATGGGTTGGAAGGTTCAAGTGGTTGACGGGGGCTTGCCCGATATGTATAACAACAGTGTTGTTTTGGATGATCAGCAAGTTACCTTTTTCTGGACACTGTCAAAAAACTCGATATCTATTGCAGCTCGGGGTGACAAAAAAAGTGGTTATCTGGCAATTGGGTTTGGTAGTGAAATGGTGAACAGCTACGCTTATGTGGGTTGGATTGATGATGATGGCAAAGGGAGGGTGAATACATATTGGATTGATGGAAGGGATGCCACAGGTATACATCCAACTAACGAGAATCTGACTTATGTGAGATGCAAGTCAGAAAATGGCATTATCACGTTGGAGTTTACCCGTCCATTGAATCCATCATGCAATCGAGAAAAAAGGCCGGAGTGTAATAATATTATTGATCCCACGACCCCACTTAAAGTTATTTGGGCAATGGGTGCCCAGTGGTCAGCAGACCGTTTAAGTGTGAGAAATATGCATTCCGTTACAAGCAACAGACCTCTTCGTGTGTTGCTGATGCATGGTTCTGCTGAGGCAGAGGAGGATTTACGGCCAGTATTAGCTGTACATGGGTTCATGATGTTTCTTGCTTGGGGTATATTGTTTCCTGGTGGAATTCTGGCTGCTAGATACTTGAAACATGTGACGGGTGATGGGTGGTTTCAGATTCATGTGTACTTGCAATACTCGGGATTAGCAATTATCTTCCTGGGCTTTCTTTTTGCTGTAGCTGAGCTTCGGGGTTTTGTTTTTGACTCCTTACATGTTAAATGTGGAATGCTGGCAATATTGTTGGCTATTGTACAACCAGTGAATGCATATCTGCGACCTAAAAGACCAGCTGCTGGGGAGGAGGCTTCCCCGAAGAGGATTCTTTGGGAGTATATTCATGTTATTGTTGGTAGATGTGCTATTGTTGCAGGGATCGCCGCTCTTATTAGTGGAATGAAGCACTTAGGAGAGAGATATGGTGGCATAAATGTTTATGGACTTAGTTGGGCCTTGGTAATTTGGTTCTTGATTGGTGCTTTGACGGTATTGTATTTAGAGTATAGTGAGAAAAAGAGAAGGCGTGATAGAATTTTTGGAAGAAGCAACTGGGTATTGGGTAATGGCGAGGAGGAAGATATTGATCTCTTGAGCCCAAGCAGAGCAATTGAAGAAAAAGAATCACATCCTTCTGATAGGATGGAAGTTCAATTAGAACCTCTAAGCAGATAGGGATCCGGTTAAAAGATACATAAATTTTTTTAACATAAACTCGTCACTTCCTTTTACAATTTTGAGATTTTGGCGCTTATACAGGAAATAGCGGGCCTGTTTATTTGCTTGACAGGCTGTTTGGGGTACAAGGATTGATGGTCACTTGCTAATCCCTACATTTGCCTAGATTATTTCTGGAGAGCAGATATTCTGAGGCTTGTATTTTGTATACTTGATACATTCCTTAACATAGTGAAAGCTCATATTTCCTCTCTCTCTACTTGTATGCATAGTGGTGTTGGTGTTTTACGGTTAATTAAGTGGTAAAATTTTCACCTTCCGTAGCAGAAATTGAAGTAATTTGATGAATGAGAAGCTGATCTATACAAGTACACATCTCTGTTCATGATCAATCTTGTTTCCTGATATTCTTGTTTATATATGTTGGTTGTACTTAAAACAAAGACTATGTGGATTTGATTCCTGACAAAGCTTGTAGATTCCTATTTTGGGTTTTTTACGTCACAAGATGTAATTGTTCAGTCTCTTTTCCATTCGAGTTAGAGTTTGATTCTCACCGATACACTTTCCCCCTGGTAGATCATTTACTAAATTCACTCAACATACATAAATGGGTCGCTTACTAGTGCGTGACAAGATGGGTTCTAGACCCTATCCATTTATCTTTTTGGATATTGTCCTCTTATTAATCTTTCCAAGTCAGCTTTTCTTTTGTTATTGTAGCAAATAAGTTTGTAGGACTTGAACATCCATCTTTTATTTGGGCAACAGAACAAGATACGTGATAGCAAGGAACATCCATTATTCTGCATCAATCAAAATTTTAGGACTAACAATAGGCATGGAAGTCGACGAATGTGTTCTAAAAACTTCAAGAAAAAGGAGGGGAAGGAGGGAGGGGAAGTTGTAACACAACTATTTGTATTTTTGAATATATCTTGTTACATGCATGCCATAATATGAATCAAGTACATGCAAGTATTATAATAATTAAGGTGACCGTGATCAAAAGCTTAAATTTTTGGATTGATTTTTGCTTAAGCCCAATGGTTCTAAGTTCAAATTATATTGGCTATACATCTTCAATATAATAAAGTAGTTGTTGGAAATTGGATATAAATAAAGTGAACGGCAGGATGAGGCGCGGACTATATCACTCTTTTAAGACGATTCACGCCCTTTTATGAAAGAATCATAGCGCAGAAGGTTATAACGCATCGTCCATAGAATACAACAGTCCAGCCTTTTCATTGTTGTTTCACTTGGATTTGCACAATCGAATGAAGTAGAAGCTTCACACACATCTTTGAGTATTACTTAGACACTTCTATTGTAAGAAGAAAGTTGATATGATATATATTGTATATATATATTCTAGAAATACGTATATATAATATATCTGTTTTATAGGTTGTAATTACTTCTATATTTAATTGGATAATAATTCAGAAAATATGACTGTTGGAATACTAGCCGTTGGAGGTTTTTGGTATTCAACAACATAGAAATAATGACAGAAAATAATTAAACAAAATATTAAAAAGTGGGTTTAATACTAGTTAATATTTTATTTGCCAGGAGGACCCATTACCCAGGTCATAGACTAGGCACACCAGTGTGGTATTAAAAAGTGGGTTTATTATTAATTAATATTTTATTTTATTTAGGCGAGCCAGGGGGACCAAGCAACTAAAATTTTAATATAGAAGCAATAACAGAAAATAATTAAACAAAATCCATATTTCCTCCGCTAGTCCCACCTCTGCGCACGTGAGAGTCCCAATACCTCTCTTTGATTCAAAGGTTAGATAACACTAGTATTTATATATATATATATATATATATTCAAGTATCTTTAGATGTTTAGTCGATGTGAGATTGAGTTCTTACATACAAAATACTCTTTTAGTTAAAATATTCTAACAGTAGTTTACAATTCAAATTTTAAAAGATAAACAAAATAATTTTCATTTTTCGCGACTCAGATCACTTTAAATTTTAGTTTAAAGTTAATCTAACGGCTAATATTAACACCCTAAATTTAATAGGAAAAATAGGACCCTAAGAGTGTGTTTGAAATGATTTTTTAAAAATACTTTTAGGAATTATTTATTTAAGTACTTTTAAAAAAATAGTGTTTGAAACCGTCTCACCACTACCTCTACCACCACCACCACTACCTCTACCACCATCGGCGCCCTCCTACCACCACCACCACTGCTGCCACCGTTGCAACTCCCACCATCGTCACCACCGCCACCACCACCTCCCCCACCACCGTCACAACTACCGCCATCGTCGCCACCGTTGCCCCCACCACCACCACCGACATCATCACCACCGTCGTCGCCACCCCACCGTCACCACCATCGTCGTCATCGCCTTCCCCACCATCGTCGTCATCGCCTTCCCCACCACCACTGTCACCATTGCCACCACCACCATCGCCATTGTCGTCACCACCACCGCCGGTGCCACAGCCATTGCTGCCACCATCGTCGCCACCACTACCACCACACCACTACGGTTATTGCCACTCACCACAACCATCACCGTCTCCTACCACTACCACTGTCGCCCACCACTTCTCATCCCCACTACAAACAACGCTTAATTTCATTTATCACTCCTCTATATTTGTAATTTGATTTTGGATATGAATACAAATATGTTTGTTTTTTATCATTTTTTATTATTTGTGTCTTCAGGCACAAACAATAACTAGTATATAAAATAAAGTACAATATAATTCAAATATTAAAAGATAAACAAAATGATTTTTTCTTTTCGCAGTTGAGATCTTTTTAAATTTTACTTTAAAGTTAATCCGATAACTAATATTAACACCTCAAATTTAATAAGAAATATGCCCCTAAGAGTGTGTTTAGGTGACGTTTTAAATGTATTTTATAATTTCTCATGAGTTTTTTTTTTAAAAAAAAATAGTGTTTGGAGCTATTCCACCATCATCACTNGCTACTGTCCTACCAATACTCCTACCACCACCATCGCCCCACCATCACCCTTACCACCGTCGCCACCACCACCACCATTGTCGCCGCCGTCATTGCCTACCACTACTGCCACCCACTATCATCCACACCCACCACACCTACCACTTTCACTACCACTATAATTCGCCACCACTCATTACACTATTGCCTAGAAGAACCCTTTGTTGCCCACCATCACCATTACCAGCCAACATCACCGGCGTCACCTATGGCTACCATTACCATCATCGTCACCCAAAACCAACCACCACCATCATCATTCTTGCCAATGGCTGCCACCGTTACCACGATCATCGCCATTCACCACAACCATCATTGTATCCTATCACCACCACCATTGTCGCCTACCACCACTACCACTGCTCACTCATAANTCAAATTATATTGGCTATACATCTTCAATATAATAAAGTAGTTGTTGGAAATTGGATGTAAATAAAGTGAACGGCAGGGTGAGGCGCAGACTATATCACTCTTTTAAGACGATTCACGCCCTTTTATGAAAGAATCATAGCGCAGAAGGTTATAACGCGTCGTCCATAGAATACAACAGTCCAGCCTTTTGATTGTTGTTTTACTTGGATTTGCACAATCGAATGAAGTAGAAACTTCACACACATCTTTGAGTATTACCTAGACACTTCTATTGTAAGAAGAAAGTTGATATGATATATATTGTATATATATATTCTAGAAATACGTATATATAATATATTTGTTTTATAGGTTGTAATTATTTCTATATTTAATTGGATAATAACTTAGAAAATATGACTGTTGGAATACTAGCCGTTGGAGGCTTTTGGTATTCAACAACTGAAATTTTAATNAATACAACTGGGGTTAAATTTTTTTTTCTCTCTTCTATATTTATGATTTAATTTTTGGTATGAATACAAATATATTTATTGTTAACAATTTTTTTTATTATTCTGTGACTTCAGGTACAGGTAATAACTAGTCTATATAATAAAATACAATACAATTTAAATCTCAAAAGATAAATAAAATAACTTTTCCTATTCGCAGCTGAATTTTTTTTAAATTTTACTTTAAAGTTAATTAGACGGCTAATATTAATACTTCAAATTTAATAGAAAAAATAGGTTCATAAATGTGTGTTTGGAGTAACNTCTATATAATAAAATACAATACAATTTAAATCTCAAAAGATAAATAAAATAACTTTTGCTATACGCAGCTGAATTTTTTTTTAATTTTACTTTAAAGTTAATTAGACGGCTAATATTAATACTTAAAATTTAATAGAAAAAATAGGTTCATAAATGTGTGTTTGGAGTAACTTTTTAAAAATGCTTCTACGAATTAATTCTTATAAATACTTTTTAAAAAAAAGTATTATTTGGAATCGCCCCACCGCCATCTCTACTACCACCACCCCTCTACCGCCCCACCACTACCACCACCACCACCACAACTACCCGTACCCCCACCCCCACTGCCGCTGCCACCATCACCATGATCGCCACTTTACCACACCCACCACTGCCACCACCCTACCATTACCTTCATCGCCCCACTACTACCATCCCATCCGTTGTCATTACTGCTGTCGTACCCTACCACCACTGCTACTGTCTCACTATTATCCCTACCATCACCACCACCACCACCGCCACACTATCACCCCCACGACTATCACAACTATCACCACCATTGTCATCATCACCAAACCCCCATTGTCACTGCCCTACCACTTCCACCCACCCCCACTACCCCGCCGCCACCACCATCACTATCGCCACCCACCATGATTGCTACCACCGTCGTTCATTGCCACCACCCACCACTATCGTCATCTTATTCTTATATTTATACCATTACCACCATCTTCCCACTACCACCATCGTCCACCGTCAACACCCACCACCACCCATCGTCGCCCACCATCGCCACCAACCACTGTCACCCACCCCTATCACCACCACCCCTCATTTCTCACAATTGCAACCACCCACTGTC